AAGGAAGTAGACCATGCAAGAACAAGCTCCGTAGGAGCAGTCTGAGGCAGAGGAGAAAAGAAAGTTGTCCTCCTTCTCAAGAGCCTTAGGTTTGGGAAGGATCTGTATATGACAAATGCAAATATCCCTCCCTGTGTTTGTCTCACAGCATGAAGATCAAAACAGGGAACCATTTGTAGGGGAAGGGTGTATCTTTTCAAGTGTGTGGGTATAGTAGTGTTTTCATCTCTAAAGCAAAAGCTTTAGAATACGGATGAAGATGATCCTCAAGATGGTTAAATTCCCTTAGATTTATCAAATTCTTCTGCCACATAATCAGGTGCTCCAAAAGAAGACCTCCTTCCCTCCAAGCTTTAAATCCATGTAGCTTAGATTCCTTCTTTGCTGCTGTGAACCAGCTTATGCACAGCACTCATACCCTGACAATAGGTTCCTTAAAAACCCAGCCCTCTAAGTTGGTTTGCAAAATGGTTCCTTTAAAGTAAGGGCTGGAGAAAGTTCAGTTCCCAGGCTTCATGCCCCCTCCAGCACCTATATTGCCCCAGTATGCCCCCAAACACCCTCCAGAGAATGTGGGATAATTTTGTCACATTTTTGGCTTCCCATTTTAAATCTCAAAGAGGCCTTCCCCCCCACAGGAATTAGCTCAGGACTTTTGGGGGCCAAACGTTTTTCAGGTGAGGATGTGGTAAGGAGCATCCCTTTAAGCTTGCCTGGGGTAGACCCCTAATTCCCCCCCAGCCCCCATTTCCTGCTCCTGCTCTAGATTATTGTTGGACATCAAGAAGGAACAGCCATGAAGAGAGGGATGTCACTGCTTTCCTACTGAGAGTTTAATCTGCATTTTTTTTCCTGGTCTCTACATTGGCAGGACCAAAGTTATCTTACTGTCGTACCTTTTCCAAAGCCTATGAGGTGTTTGTCACTGATGGAAATGGATCTTCTTTCACTGTTTTGCGTATGTTTAATACAACAATGCTTTTGGCTCCTCCACCCTTTCTTCTCTTTGTCTCTCCAGAATGTACTACATTACTGAAACTCCTGCGCTCACAGAATGAAGTGGTGGCGGGAAATGCTGCCTTTTGCCTTGGGAAATGTCTCGAGGTTCCTGGAACAGCCACAAATATGCTAGACACAAATGTCGTGAAAATTCTCTTGAAAGTCACTGGGGGGGATGCCCAGAAGACTTCAGTGCAGGAGAACGCCGCCATTGCTTTAGGGAAGCTCTGCACAGCGGATGCCAGGCAGGTATCTTGGCAAGGACTGTACACAGTCACATTGGCTGGATGCTTGCGGGTGGTGGTGATGGCTGAGTTGATGGAGGGAACTGTTGCATATGGAATGATGTTTGGGTTGGAGGAGAGGGAAGGGGGTCTTGAATATTCTGACCCCTTACAGTCAAGAGATGAGGTTGTGGATGATCACTTCCTGGAGTTCCTTTTGAAATGTTGGATAGACCAGGAGGTGCTCAGGCATGACTACACATCACTTGGCTTTTATACCTGGGGATTCTTCATCCATATTCACTTTAGTGATAAAATTCCCAAGGCTTGTCTTGCAAAATGAGAGTTGGTTAGTACACTGAAGTCAAATGACTTGAGTTATTCTCTTTTTCCCCCTTACAAGGGGAAAACAGCACAGGTAGGGTGGCCTCTCATTCACCCACCCAAGGCCATCTTGGGTAGAGTGGCTGTGAAAGCAAAATCTGTTGGACCTGATAAAATAACTTCTGAGGAAATCTTGATGGGACTTGAGCTGTAAAGCTGTTCACTTGTGATCAAACTGACCTTTAGGACCAGTCATGTTCTGGTCTGTATGAGGAAGCCATGAAGGTCCAAAGGACACCGTCTTTTCCCTTTACTGAGTCCCTCAATATCCATCTTTCCTCTAAAGAGGCTTCCCTCAGGAAACCAGCCCTGCACAAACAAGATCCAACCACTGTGCCTGGGGAATCACATATAAAAATAAGTGGAAACCATCCATGTTGGACCTAAAGCTATTTTGCATCTCTGCTCTAAGACTCACCCTTCTTCACATGGATGGAGCATTCTGTTTGAAATTGTCCTAATCATAGCCACTCTGCAAGATAGAGGAGCCCAGTTTCCATTTCTGATTCCATTTTTTTGCAATCAGGGAAGATTTTGTTTTAGAGAAGTTTGGGAGAGGGGAAGCTGTTTAGATGTGTGTGTGACTTATGCAAGAGGAAAGCTACACAGTAATCTGCAAGAGAAGTAGGATTACATGGCACAGCGGTAGCACTAGTTTTCAAGAGCAATGAAGCAGGCTTTTGTGGGATATTGTGATCAGTTGCCAGGGGAGATGGAAACTCTTCTCCTTGGGCTTCGTGAATGTGATGAAACTCCAGGCTCTTCCAACCCCCCATTCCCAACTATATGCCTATGGTGGTTTTTAATCTTTCTTTGAGTGCAGCAAATAATGGCTCTTCTACTTTGTTTGTTAGGCAGTCTATTGGCTACCACATACAGGTTTCGTACGAACCTGCATCTCATGTCTTTGCCAAGCGAGCAATGCACAAATCCATCTCTTGCCCCAGCAATTACCCTCACTTCAAATTGCTCTGTTTTGCTGCTGTGTTTACAGGCACACCAGTCGGTTGCGGGAGCTGAATGGAATGGCAATCCTCAACACTGCCATGAAGTATGTGCAGCAGTGATTTTAAAGGCTTCTTCAAATTTTCTGAAGAGTGTGGGCAGCGCTTACCATACCTCTGGTCAAGGCTGTTCTAATGTTCTTTTTAAAAATAATAAAATAAAGATGATTAATACAGTGGAAAAGAGTGATTATTTGATGTCTCAGAGAGTATTAGAAAAATGATGGCTTGTAAAAAGCTTGGAGAAGTACTTGGACTGAATTGTTTTTATTCTGTTTCTAAACAGGGACAGCCCTCCCCCCCCCAGCAAATTCCTTAGGATTGATAGGCCTCCTACTTTATAGAAGGACTCAGAAATAAAATTCGGATGCTGTATTACAGAAGACTGCCCAAAATTTGACATCTCCAGTGGAAGCCTAGTTACATGTCCCAACACCTCACATGGCTACCTCACATGCCATTGACTCCATTGATTTTAGATTCCAGAGGTCAGCTAAAATGGCTTTGTACCACACATGGCCTGTGTGTTTGAAACTGCTCTGTCTTTTATTTTAAAAATATTTTAAGGACTATTTATATATTACTTTAAACAGTTCTTAAAGATTATTTTAATTTGTTTTATCAGTTTTTATTTCTGTATTACTTTGAAGGTTTTTAACTGTTGCCTATCATCTTAGGGGCCTTGGTGGTCTGGCATGTTATGTATGGACATCCAGATACATGAGAGGAAAGAATATATGAACCCTGGCTCCAAATTAGTGTATGTAGTTTTGTGTGTCTTCAGGTTTCTTACCTGTGGTGACCCTAAGGGGAATCTATCACTAGGTTTTCTTGTCAAGATTTGTACAGCAGGGTTTTGCTATTGCCTTCCTCTGAGGCTGAGAGAGAGTGTCTTGCCCAAGAGCACCCAGCGACCTTCTATGGCCAAGCAGGGCTTTGGACCTTGGTCTCCCACTGTCCTAGTCCAACACTCAGATCGTGGCACCATGCTGGCTCTCTAGCTTCACCGCCTCTTTATTTCCTAAGTAGGCTCTGATAATATAATCCAAATAGGTTGGTACCCCATGTGGATTCCATAGCTGAGGGAAAATTGACTGGGTTTCAGATCTACTCCTCCCTTCTCCTTCCTTGACATTTTCCGATGGCCATTATGTCAAGAGTAGCAGTTGTAAAATTATATGTCATTATCATCTCCTCTTAGGAAGAGCTGAGGAGTGAATCAATCTTCACCGCTCTAGGGGAAGGCACTCTCTGGCACACATGGAGCTTTCTTTTGCTCCTCCAAGCCAAATACAATGGGCACCTTCAGAAAGTGACTCCTCCACCCGCCTACAACAGTTTAGGGTTGCCACTCTTTTCAAGTAGTGGGTCCTGAGGCATATCTCTATTACTGTTCCCAGCGTATTGCTTCTGTGAATAACCATTCTGTTTATTTTTGATACAGTCTCGGAGTTCAACTTTTCACACTCCAGAGTTAATGCACAATATGGTAGCGTAAATACCCTTAACATTCTTGGTCACGACTGAGTCAGTTGCCTCTAACCAGCCTTTCTTCAAGGGAGAGCAAACAAACTAGTTGGCTACTAATGCCAACTAGTTAATCTTTCCTACAACGTAGGTATCGGAAGGAGTAACTGGTTGGCATTGCCAGCTCAGCTTGCCCTTGGTGAGTGAGTGCCTCTTGAAAGAATATTATGGCTCAGATCGAGCTGCGCTTTAACATGTTAGTCTCACTTTGCCATTAAGACCTTTTTCCTTCCAGGCATACACCATTCCTAGATCTGCTTGGCTTCAGAGTGCAAAGCTGATGCACCATGTGCTTTGCTTTCAGACCGTGCCATATGCCTCTTGGAAGACTGTTTATAAGAGCAGAGCTAATGTCCCAATTTGACCATCATATGTAATGTCCAAAATTGGGCAGCCAGCCCCTAAACGCAGTTCAGATGGTATGGAAAGGTGCCAAAGTGCCTTTGAACTGACACCTTGGGTGTGTGAATAGGCCATGCTGCTGGGGAAGATTCTGGGAGTTCTAGTCCAAAACAAAAGTAACTTCTCCTTCCTTTGGATAAGCATATGTGTGTGTAGAACAGAAATTCATTGACTGGTCAAGATCCAAAAATTTTTTTTAAAAGATCTTCCAAAAAAGGTAAAGGAGATCAATGACTCCCTTACGATTGTGTTTTTAGTCCCATGTGTTGACTAGGCTGGTTATTCTTTTAAATGCAATAACTTTCTCCAAGTTGCCCTTCACCACTTTATAAACAGGATGCTGGCATTGTCTTATGGTCCTTTTTTGAGTAGCCTCAATCTCCTCATGCAGAGTTATTCTACTATGCTTACATTTTTAGTATGCATATTAATTTTTATAAGCTTCCTCCAGTCCCATAGAGCCAGTGTGGTGTAGTGCTTTGGATGTTGGGCAATGACTCTGGAGACCAGGGTTCGATTCCCAGCTCAGCCATGGAAACCCAATGGGTGACCTTGGGCAAGTCACATGCTCTCAGCCTCAGGAGAAGGCAATGGCAAACCTCCTCTGAACAAATCTTGCCAAGAAAACCCTGTGATAGGCTTGCCTTAGGGTTGCCATATGTCAGAAACAACAACAACCAAACCTTCAGCCCCGGTTTTGAGGGAAAGGAAGGGTATTCATGAACAGTTGACAACCACAATTGTCATAGAGGGAGCTTTGGGTTCTTCTAGACAAAGTTTTTCTTGTCCCATTCAGAGAATTTGACATCCAACGATGCCTTTGCCAATCAACTCTGTGTAATCCAAGCCAACTTGAATCTCAAAGTCAGGAAGAGCAGAAGTGCAGACAGGAATGGTTCATATTGCTGTCTCCACTTCTCTCCTCCTCTTCTTCCATGCCACTATCTTCCAATTGGTGGATCTGTTCCCTTCTCTCTCTCTTTCTTTGGACCATGCTGAAATACACTACTCTCAGGCCTTAAAAACTCTCCTCGAGTATGTAACTCCCTACTCCTCACTTGCAAAGCAAGATCTGCAAATGCTTCCAATAAAGATACAGGAGAATCCTCCGTTGCCTGAACGAACAGAGGGCTAGCTGTATTCTTGCATTGAAAAACAAGATGGAGGACAGCGTCCTTGCATCCTTGCTTTTGGTGGCTGGACTACTAAGACTAGCTGGTGAGTGAAGCTTTTGTCCTATGTTCTTGCTCTTTCCATTTTTGTGTATGATGCATTCAGTAAAGAAGGAAAGCCTCAGATTGGAACAGAGTTTTTTTTCCTGTGGCAGACTTTAAGGGGAAACCAGAAGACTAGTTCAGCAACTAGAAATGTTAGTTTTGTGAACTATCATTCCTAGAATCCTTCAGTTAACTTGGCCATTAAATTATGGGAGTTGTAGCCTAAAAAAAGAGGAACTTCCCCCAAACTCAACTTCCTTTGTATTTCTCCTTTGACTACATTCCCATAACTTAGCACCTGATTTTATTGTCTTATTAAAAATTAATTTATCTGCATTATTTTACTTGGCCTTCATTAGTTTCCCCATCTGTGCTTAACAGCTGCAGACTTAATCCAAAAGGGAAGCTATGCCCCAATGACCCGAACTCCTGATCCTCAGTTATGCTTTTGGCCAAGGTTTTCAGGCTCTGGAGACGGGACAGCTTGCCAGTCTGCTGATTTTGGAAACTGGTGTTTGACCTCCACTCAAATCTTTTGCATAATACATACATTCTGCTGGCCCCTCTTAATGAATCCACCTGGATTCATGGCAGCTCCAAAGCAAATCCTTGGCAAATGTATTTAGTCTTTTACAGGGATTGGGGTGAGGATAATGGCAGAGATAATATGAGGAAGTCCTAGTTCAGGATTCTGCAGGACATGGCAGTTAAATGAGTGTCAGAGTGCACTATTTCTACAGTGTAAATTTACTCTCAGCCTATGTCTAGTTTTGATCAGTAGATCTTAGAGGGACAAGTGGTACTGCATTTATTCATTATCCTTCTAAATCAACCATTAGCCCTGGTTCCCTGGGTGTTGCATAGTCTTTCATAAATATGAAACGTGTCAATTATACGCTAAAGCAGCAATGGAGGACTGTATGCATGGTTGACTTCGGAGCTCATGGATGACACAGAGCAGCCCTAAACCAATTCTATGTGCCCATTTAAACTAGATTTAAAACCATTTTGGGTCTCCACAACAGAGAAGAGCAATCTGATCAATGCTTGGAACAGAAGCATTGTCATATGTGATGGTTTCCCACAGAAGTATGGTCAAGATCAGTTTTCTTTAAGTGAATCTACTACTTGATTGTGTTACTGCTGAGGGGAAAAAAATACTGGAACGGCAGTGATGATGATTAGGGCATGATCTAATTGAGTTTTTGATTATCAGACTTTGGATACAGAATATTTGACATCCTACAGTGTATTTGACATAAATGTATGCCCTAGCTGTTTCTGTTTGTTGAAGTTTTGTTCTGATGTTTACCTTCAGAGCACAGGTGGGCAACCTGTGGTCCTCCAGATGTCATTGGACTGCAGCTTCCATCAGCCCTAGCCAGCATGGCTAATGGCAAAAGGATTATGGGAGTTGCCATCCATTGAGATCTAAAAGGTTATTAGTGGCCCAACTCTGCCATATTAGATGGGTGCACTTCCTATATAGCCATAGTGGAGCTGGCTGAATGTAAGACCTGACATCTAGGGTGAGACCCTAGATGCTAAGTGCCCTTCAAAAGGAGAAGCTGGCAATTCCATGTAAACGCAACTATAAGCTAAATGAATGCCACATCTAGCAATCACAACACTAAGGGACTGGAGTCAAGAAGTCCAGGCAAAAGACACACATATACGAGTGACACTGGCATGTTTTGGTTGGGTCCGTTGCCTTGATGTCCAGCTTGTGATCATCACAGAAGCAGCTAGTTGGCCACTGCTGAACAATTGTGGGATTTGCATTAAAAATAATTGTTCTAAGCTCAGAACCACTGTAGGGAAGCGTGATACCAGACTGGATATGACATCTAGACTCTGAATGGTAAAATTAGAAGGTCTGGTGAACTTGAAAGACATGTGCATGTTTATTTTGATGCTTGTTATCTGAGAAGCAGTCTCATGTTTGAGCTGTGGATCGTGGACCACACCTGGATTCTTATCCATGCAAAAATGCAGATTTTCTTAATTTTATTTGTATCATATGGCCATACTTGGATATTCATATGATTTGGGGAAATTTGGAACAGAAATGGAAGGAGAAGAAGCAGGACATGTGTGTCTGCAGTATCTGGGGGTGCCCACATTTCTAGCATTTCAGTCACTTAGAATTTCAGTTGAGCATTTAGAAAACAACACAACAACAACTATTGCAGAAAAACTAAACAATAACCCACTGGACCTAAATACCCCAAAGGCATCAGATCTCATCTGATCATGAAAGCAAAGCAGGATCAGCCCTGTTTAGTACTTGGATGGGAGACTACCATTGAATACCAGGTTCTATTTCAGAGGAAGGAACTGGCAAAACCACCTCTGAGTCTTCCTTGCCTAAGAAAACCCTCTGAAATTTATGGGGTCACCATAAGACGGCAGGCGACATAAAGGTGCAACGCACACACACTAACCCATTGGTTTATTCTGTCCTTTTAGTTGCCTCCAGGAGTGAACCTTGGTCCAGTGACTCAGCCAATGAAAGCTTTTTTGAAGAAGGTCTGATGACCACCAAGAGCCACCTGGTTTCAGTGAGAGAAGATCACACAGGTGAAGTGACCCTCCAGCTTGAGAGCCTGACTTCTGACCCTGCTAACAAGGGCATTCATCACTTGCATGGCATCCAAAGAACAGAGGCTCAAAGCACCACAAAAGATGGAGGTCAGAAGCTTACTACTGTAACTGGAGAGCTTGAGAGCACTGAGCTATCCTTCACAGATGGAGCCCTTTTAGGACACCAAACTGATGGTCTGGTCACAAGCAGGCCCCTGATCACCATTAGTGTGTCAGCATCAAAATCAACCAGCATCCAGCAAAAACTTCTGACAACACTTCTCTCTATCAAAGAAAGAATGGGTAATGATACAGCACAGGAACTCAGACCAAGTGAGGATCTGTTCACCTCAACTCCAGGTAAGGCAGAAGGGATGGACCCATTTGCAACCACACCTTTTGACTCAGAATCCTTGGAAAACACTGGGGAAAGGGTGACATTACCTACCATCCTCTCTCTAGGGACAGCAACATCTGGGCCTATGCACACATACGCTTTGAGGAAGAGTGGGACCGAACCAGAAGGCCATTTTATTGAAACCATACCAACTCCTGGAAAAGAATTAGCAACACCTATCTCTGAAGCTGGCCAACAGACACAAGTTACAGGTCAACAAACCAAGCTGGGTAGCCAAACTTTTGATACCACCAGAAGTCCAGGTACCCTGACTGTGGCACAGAATGCATCTGTTAAGAGTAGCTCTGCACATATATTTCAAGAAATGCTTTTTGAAAAAAATGGTGCAACTATTCCCAGGACAGAGATGGAGCAGCATTATACCTCCTCAGTTTCTTCTCCACATGGAGGGATGACACGACACAAGACCACTGAGCTGAGAATGACTGAAAAGCCTACACTCCTGACTCCTGCTCAAAGCAACACTCACCCTTTCCCACCCTTGTCAACTACAGAAACCATTTCTTCAGCATCTTTGCATCAGTCTTCTAAGGCAGAGGACATCAACCAAAGCTTTCAGCCCAACCTTTTTCTCTTTCCATCCCAATCCACCATTTTCAAGAAATCTGATCTGTCCAGCAAAACAGAAGAACCTCTTCATGAAGGAGGGAACTCTAATTTGCACCATGCAGTTGATCACCAGACAACCACTCAGACATCTCTTTTCAAGCCATCCCAAACTGCAAGGAGAGAATCATCTCCTCTAGTCAATCTGCAAGAAACCACCATTGTGAATCAGCCAACTGCATCTCTCCTTCCCCATTCGATGCCTCAACCACCAAGCGTTCCTCCCTCAGTTTATGGCAAGCCCCAGGCAAGCATAACCAGCACTTTTTCACTAGGCAACTTAATATCATCTTACACTAGACCTACAATGTCAAGCTTGGGAACCTCTTTCCATATCAGCCCACCATCACCAGACATTTCTGTATCTGCTAGGCACAGCACACACGGGGTATCTGAGTTCCAGCAGCCCTACATGCTTTCTACTGTTCACGGGAAGCAAACATCTCCCAATGCATTTGTTCTGTCTCTTACGGATTCAGAACCCTTGCCCACCTCTTCTGCTCCTGTTCTTATGAAATCACGAGTACCTGGTGTCCATGCTGTATCAGAGAGACCAGACCTATTTCCTCCTTCTCAGACTGAACCACAACATGGATCAGATCCATCAGAGGTAGCTGTAGCTCTCACTAAAATAACAACACTAGGCAATTTTGCCTCTCCATATGCTGGGCTAAACGCATCAGCTGTGGCTCAGTCAGTCTCCTCCAG